TGACTTTATATTCCTTATACTGTATGTGGATGACATATTATTAGCAACAAACAGTAAAAGCATGTTGCAATCCACAAAAGCTTTCCTCATGAAAAGTTTTGACATGAAAGATATGGGTGAGGCAAGTTATGTGTTAGGAATTGAAATAATTAGGAATAGACAGTTAAAGACTCTGGGACTGTCTCAAAGGAATTATATTGAAAAAGTATTGAATAGATTTGGAATGAAAAATTATAAAAGAGGTGAAGCTCCAATTTCAAAGGGTGATAAACTGCATAAAGGGCAATGTCCTACAAACATTTTGGAAAGAAATGAAATGGATAAAATACCTTATGCAAGACTGGTTGGAAGTCTGATGTATGCACAAGTATGCACCAGACCAGACATAGCATTTRCWGTAAWTATGCTGTCCAGATTTCAGTCTAATGCCGGACATGCACACTGGGTTGCAGGCAAGAAAGTATTGAGATACTTAAAAGGAACTATGAGTCATATGTTGACTTATGAAGGATCTGATAAGGAACTAGAAGTAGAATGCTATACAGATGCCTCATATAAGCAAGATCATGATGATCTTAAATCCACTTATGGTTACATTTTTATGTTGGCTGGAAGTGCAATCTCATGGAAAGCCAGTAAACAATCTTTAACTGCCACCTCTATATTTCAAGCAGAATATATAGCCATATATGATGCAACATCTCACGCTATATGGCTTAAAATTTTCATTTATGGACTGAAGATTATAGATTCAATACAAAAACCATTAAATGTATACTGTGATAATGCTGCTGTTGTGTTCTTTGCTAAAAACAATAAAAGAAGCAGTGGGTCTAGAAATATAGATGTTAAGTATCTTGCAGTGAGGGAAAATGTGAGAGACAAAGAAATTGAAGTTTTGAAGATAGGAACAAAGGATCAGTTGGCAGATCCCTTTACAAAGGCACTTGATGTTGAAAGTTTCAAGAAGCATATCAAAGCAATGGGTATGAGGAATCTGTTCAGTGAATGAAATCATAATGACAGGATCATAAACTACAGTTTGTTGTAAATATATTCATTAAATGTATACTTATTCATGTACTATTTGTGAGATACAAGCTGTTTATATAAGATTAACGTATGGATGAACTGTTTGATTAAGCAACACTTTGGATTTTAATTGTTAAGCATGCAGGGTACAGGTATGTATGCATGTGTTATTGAAACTGTTTTAGTGTGATCCTGGGAGTCTACTTAGTCCAGCTAATGTATAAACTCCCTTGATTCCTAATGCAGTATCAATATATGCTGTATAATAATTTGGAATTATATAGATCTAGTGCACAATTCAGTGGAGAGTTACTTTCAATTATTATCTTGTTCAGTGGGAGATTGTAGCATATATAGATATATATGTATATGCTCATCTTAATGAACAAGATGAATTGAAGAATAACAATCCAATGATTTATATAAGACCATATGATTTATTTATGCATATGTATATATATGATAATATTGGTCAACATGTGTTACCTGTTTGGCGCCAAATGAAGAAACACGTATGACAAATTGATTAAAGTGACAGTTAATGGGGTTCCTTGATGGATGGAACTGCCATCACTCTGCTTTATATATCTTTTGTAGGCCATTTCATCCAACTCTCTCAAGAACACCAAGGGATCCTGAAATCGCCAATTCCATCAAATGGTTAGGGCATAAAAGGGTGTATCTTGATAAAGCATGGGTGATGAACAAGAAAGCGATCCAAATCAGAATTCCACATTCTTACCAGGTACGTCATCAAATTCAAACTCATATAGAAGTCTGTGGTTCTATCGATGTGTTAAATCTTGATTCTAGTTTGAAATAACACTAACAAGTCCCCATCTCTAATTTAGCAAGAAATCCCCATCCTCGACCAGGACGGATGGATCGGGTTCCCCGACAGATCGGAATCCATTCCCATGCCTATACACACACTCTCACACTCCTCCCGACTTCACCCATTCTCCATTGCTTAAATACATTAAACCTCATGGAATATTGAATCTCTTATGTTTATGTTGATTTAATGATTAATTAATGTTATTGATAAATGATAAATTAACAATGTTAATTTAATTGATTCTGCTTTCTATTTTGTTTGAATTTTTTTAGTAAATGTACCAGTAATTTTGGTATTGATATGATTAACCATTAATTTTTTTTGACTTTCAATTTTTCATTTTTCATTTTTCATTTTATTATTTTATAGATACATATCTATTATTATTCTAATTTGTTAATTATTAGTTTTCAATACCTTACTTGTTATATGATTTATTTAATTTGGGAGTAAATTATATTTTTTGTTCCTGTTTTTTTGTTAAAAATTGCAGTTTCGTCTTTATGGTTTATAAATTGCAGTTTTTGTTTTTATGGTTTGTAATTTATTGCTACTTTCATCCACAAAGTAATTCTTACTTTTTTAAGTGAAAGAGACCACAATAATAAAGAATTGCAAACCACAAAGACTAACAATAATTATAAATCTTAAAATTAAAATAACAATGATCTACAAAGTATAAGGACGAAAACCGTATATATATAAACCATAAAAACGAAAATCACAACTTTTAACAAACCATAGGAACGAAAAAACGTTTGGGTTTATTATATGTATTCAAGGCACGCTATTGGTTTTTCTTTATTTCAGATTTTTAGGTTTTATGTTATCTGATTTTCTTCTAACTGAATATAGTTTTTTGGCCTTTCATCCTCTGACTTCTTGCTGATGAACTAATAATTTATATGTTTATTAACTATTAAGGGTTCTGATTTAGATGATATAAATGAATTTATAAATTTATGTTTGATATTTAAATATTTTATTTTTCAGAAATATCATTTGTCTTAAAAAATGAACAACAATTTATTAAACATCGTGTAGTTCAACCCAGGGGTAAATTGGTCATTTCTATTATTCAGACTGTTGATTCAGATAGAAAAGTAAACAACAACATAAATTTATTCAGACAGACAAATTTATCCAGATAGACAAATTTATCCATACATGATTTAATAGAAAATTTGGTAAACAGTCCCTTAATGTCACATGTCAACATTTGTTTTATTACAAATTGATCTAGTGGTTCGTTTCTCTAGTTATCTAGTCCATCATGAATGAAACGAATCTTGTATTTGTGTTGTATTTACTTACTTTCAGTTTAAATGAAGTAGTAAAATATATAAATAGTAGTATAATGTATTTGTCTTCACCGTAATCGTGAAGTGCAACCAAAAACCAAATAAATATTAGATATATATTCGATTAACCGAACTGTTTAAGCCAAAAACTGTGTAACTCAAAACCATCTTGATTAGGATGAGTTATTCGGTTTTAGAACTTTTTGATAATCTTTAATGTGCTCACAATCATAAAAATTTATGGATTCACAACACCTTTACCAAATGACAGATTTGACTAAGATGGGACCTAGATCTTACCGAACCGACAAAACTTAAAGGACTGTTTGATAGTTGTTGAATGGTTTGATGCAGAATGATTAAAAGACTCACATGATATAGTGCAAAATGAAATATAGTTATTTACAACAAAATTAAAATGCTGAATAATTAAGGGAGACTCATGCTACAAAATCATTCAAAGAGTTTTAAGACCATTTAGAGACCAAAAAAATTTCCAAACAAGATTATCTCTTAACAATTTAGAGACTGTCTTTATTTACCTCTTAATAGTTTTATTAAAATGCAACATTTGAATCGTTAAGAGGTGAGTCTTGTTTGGCAATTTTTTTTATTTCTTAATGGTTCTAAAATCCTCTCAATGATTTTGCATTCTGGGTTTCTCTTAACCATTCAGCACCTAATTTCATTATAAACAATTACCAAACAATTATATTTTATTTTATATTATATCATGAAAATCTCTTAATAATTCTAACCACTTAGTTACTCTGCACTAAATTATTACTAGTTGTGTACCCGTGCAATGCGGCGGGAGCCATGAATTTTAACGATTTTGAAGTTCCACTGGTTTTATAAGATAAGATTTAACGATGATATAGGTTACACTTGGTCTTTACATATTAATACAATTTGAATAAATAAGAGTTATGGTTCCAATTACAGACTATTGATGAAAAAAATTGTATGACGGTTTAAAATCCAATATATTTAAAATCCAACATATTTAAACGACTCCACAAATGTATTCGTTTTACATCAAGAGCAAAGAACCAAGAAACTTGAGTTTTAAGATAAACATTCAAAACCAATAAAGAAAACTACAAATTTGACAGATCATAAGCTATGAAAAGACAAAAAAAGATAGGGTTTAAAATAAAATTTCAACTGCTTACCCTCTTTCTTGTCCAGAAACTCAGATTAAGGTTGAATTAATACATGTATATATATATTTCAAAAAACCCAAGAACATATTAATTCAAAACATATTATACAGTGCAATTTGGACAGCCTAATCTCAAAATATATAGTATATATATAAATAAATAACTATAAAAGTATAAATCGTAAATATTAAAAATATTTTGTCACAGTATATATAATATATAATAATATAATTAAGTTAAAAACTATTCAATATTGGACTCATTTCGAAGGTATTCAACGAGACGATTATAATGGTGTAACTTGTTAAAATAAAAATGTATTTTTTAAACATGTTTTAATTGATATACGATTATGTATGTTAATTTGATAAATGTTTAAAATGAAACATTTAAAAGTAAAGGACGAAAAGTAAATTAATTAATTAATTATAGGAGTATAAAGTATAAATTTAAAATTATAATTTTAAAAAAATCGGTTATGAGAGTGTGAATGTATGTGAGGAGAGGAGGTGTTGAAAAAGTAAAAAAGTGAGTATAAGGGTATTTTGGTTATTTAGAATCTTTAAGACTTTAAAATTTTTGCTAAATTTGCTTTATATAACAGTATAGATTACTGAAAAACAAAACAGTGTTGATAATATTGGGAGGTAAATAAGCCACCTCACGGAAACTTGTTTCCATAAAAATTCGATTAGATTTTACTCCAGAACTCGTACGTTCCTCCTCCCTCATCGCTCATCCTCCGTCGGCCCCGACTCTCCTCCCGCCACAGTCTGGTCACTCCTCCTCCGTCTTCTCTCTCGGTCCTCCTCCCTTCTCCCTCGTCGCTCTAGTCCCTCCTCACGCCAGCTGAGGTTAGATTTTTCTTTGGTAATGGTTTTATTTCAGTAGAAAATCCTATAAATTTGATCTATTTGTCTTCTCTGTGTGTTCATATGAACCAAATTGAGTGTGTGCCTGTGTTTGTGTGTACCAATATGTGTGAGACGATATAGAATGGTTCACTTTTGGGTCTGACTTCGATATGGCTGATTTGGGTTCTTTTTGCTTGTGTTTACCTAGATTTCTGTTAGATTTTTCTTTCCTTATGGTTTGATTTCAGTTATGCTGAGTTGGGTTTTATTTGTTCTTGTTGGAAATCCTAAAATTTGACCTACTGGTCTTCTCTGTGTGTTCATATCCATAAAATTGAGTGTGGTTTGAGTGTGTGTGTGTGTGTTTTATGTATGCACCAATATGCTTGAATTGATATGAAATGTCTATTGAGTTGGGTTCTCATTGATTGTGTTAAAACTGTTTTATGTATGTTTCCTTTTTGCGGTCTGATTCCAATTTGCTAATATGGGTTTGGATTCTTCCTGTTGCAATTTGCTAATTTGGGTTCTTTTCTTCAAATTCTTTTGTTTTTTCATATGGGTTTTCTGAGTTTTATGGATTTTAGTAGTAAAGAACTAGTTTGAGCTAAAGATTTTGTGTGTGAAGATTGAATCTCTGTAACTGGGGGTGTGTGTGTGTGTCAGTTCATCCTCTCTAACCCTCACTTATGTGATTTCACTTTGGTATGCCGTTTAATTGACTTCACGTCTGTTGCTTCTGTTAATGTTCTTGCATATTGGATCAGTTTTTTTAATGGATCAGTGTTGTAGCTTCTTTCACATAGTTTGGTCACTTCGCAATATTTCATACATGGTTTCATGGGGTTATTTATTTTTTCCTCCAAAATCGAAAATTTCGTATTTTTGAGTCGGATATAGCTTGTTTGACCATAAAAGTTCAGTGTCAACTTCTATCTTTTTCTGGAAAATAGAGATCATAATGACGAAGTTGTTAGGATAGAAACATTCACCCAAAGGGGTTATAATGGTAATATTTTTGTTGGTAAGCACTTTCCAAGTAAACACTCTTACCCGGACAACACTTACCCAGGACGGCACTCACCCGGTAAGAGTTGGTAAACGGCCCCTTACTCGCATGGTTTTCAATGATGTATTACATAACTTCTATACAAGGAACATAGAATTCATGCTTGCCAAGGATTAGAAATTATGTGTTTGCAAACCTGTATACATAATGCCACATTATTCGACTTGCCAAAGTTAAATGACATGCTTGCATGATAGCATGTGTAGAGCGCATTCCACAGAGCTAATTCAGTAAAAATTGGGACGGAGAATGACAGCTTTCCTCTCATCAAAGATCCGCCCACCTCCGATTCTCAATTCCGTTGATAAAATCACACGAGAGAAGGAATGTAAGTATCTTGACATATATTTTACTGAATATGTGAAAGAACCCAATTGCATCTCATCACTTGACTTAGACCCATTGACACTAATGCACCATCTCAAATATTGTGTAGAACTTGAAATTTCTTTTCACAAAATCTTATTCTCTCAACTTTTTCACAAAAATGGCCTTTCTACTCCTCTAGGTGGAGGTAAGGACTGCAACTGCATACGTCATACCCTCCCAAGATGAAGTTACCCTAGTTCAGGCCTGGTTCTTAGCAACTTAATGAGCTTAATGGGACTCAAAGCTTATTTGGTCAGCCATACATGACTGTTTGGTAGTGGCTTAATAATATAGAAAATGGCTTATTCAATAAGCTTCTAGGAGGAGCTTTATGCAAAAAGCCAAGCTTTTTCAAACCTGTCCCTCCCAATTAAAAAACACTTTCCTTCCATCCATGAAACGAAAACCTTCCCAGTCTATACGGACAACTTTATTCATACATGAGGATTTACTAGGTTCGTTTGGTTTGCATCATCTCAAATATCTCATTATGTTTCTTTCCCACTGGACTATTTCTTATATCACAGATAAACCGCAGTCGAGGTGTCATATTGTCTGTCAAGAGACATGGTCTAGCCGTCGGCATGTGATAGCAAACGGTGGTGTTGCATTAGTTTCAGTCTTAGCATTCAACTGTGGATTTCGACCACTAGTAGCTTGGGCTGGAGATGAAGCGATCGAGCAAGAGGAGAACGATGAAAGTTTAGTTGGGGCCTTTAAGTCACTGTTTGATCCTAATGAGAAAACAAAGTCTGGGAGAGTGTTGCCAAAGGCTTACTTGAATTCAGCAAGGGAGGTGGTGAAGACTCTGCGCGAGTCACTAAAGGAAGACCCGAATGATATGGCTAAATTTAGACGGACTGCAGATGCAGCTAAAGAATCGATACGAGAGTATCTGGGCAGTTGGAGGGGACAACCGACCGTAGTCAATGAGGTAATATCCTTTTCACCAAAATATGTAAAGTAATTGTTTTTGTTATAGCTGATGTGAGTTGTTGCAGGAATCATATGTGGTTATTGAGAAAGCAATTAGATCTCTGGCAAGGTTCTACTCAGAGGCAGGCCCATCTGCTCCCCTTCCAGAACAAGTGAAATTAGAAATCATAAGCAATCTTGATACAGCAGACAAGTTTTTGTGATCCTTACCCTTCCTTCAAACATGTCTTGGCTTTAATACTTGCAAGTTACTCATCTTTTTATTTTTCTGTAAATTTATTCCTCTGTTTTTGGGGTTATAATGACAGAAAGGGACCGTTTTCCAAATGCTGCTTACCAAGTCATGAGAGATTTCCGTCTTCTAATTCTTCTCTTTCCTACACATTTTTTAAACTTTCTATCCCTAATTATGAACCTAAAGTTTATGGGGGCGTTTGGTTTGACGAAATGTTTTTGAGGGATTTGGATTCATGGAAGAATTTTCAATTGAAAGTATTTGGAACCGTTGAGGTGGAATGGAATTGAATTCTATGGATAATTTATAAAAACTGATTATAATTAAAAAGATAATTAAATTATCTCGTGTTAGTTGATTATTAAAAAACGGATGTTTTTAAATATATTTGAAAATATTATTACAAGCAATTCTTATGAAATTATGTGATTTGAAATAGTTTGTAAGTTCTTCGTAACAAGTTACAAGTTTATAGTACGTTCGAACCAGTTTGTAATAAAGAATTGATAACAGTTGGTAACATATCCATAATACGTTTATAAAATGAAACTACTTTATAACCAGGCTTTAACAGGTCATAACAAGTGTGTAACACTTTGTTACAATCTGAATTTGAAGGTCGGTCTTATTAATGGGGTGTTCAAAAACCCAACCCAATCCAATATGAAATAACTTAACCCGAACCAATCTAATATCTAATAAAGTAACATACTCCAAAACCTCATAGGTTTGAACCAACCAGGTTAGGTTTCATATAATGTCACTTTTAAACCTTTTTCATTAAAATAAGGTTATCAAAAGTCTCAGGCCAAACCTGTTATTTCCTCCTCAATAACATCCAGACTATGATTTCCAATAAGAATTCTGATTTTAAATCTTTAAGTCATAAAAAAATAAAGATTCCAAATCACAATAATCTTGAAGGATATAATAATAAGAGTTATATTACACATCATACACACAAATGTCACCCTTATATCCAAAGATACACCTCTACTTAATATGTCACCCTTATCCCATGGTACATCTCTCCTTGATATGCCATCCTTATTTCCTCATCAAAACATTTCACAAAACAATTTCAATTAGAACAAATCGCAGTCATAAATGTTCTAATGAAATATCATCAGTTCAGAATCATTTTCATAAAAAATTCCCATTCTTTATACAAGAATATTGAAAATGACAATTTGCATAATCAATGCATAAGTCAATGTACAAATCCGGTCAACACAGACTTGGCCGGACTTCATATCCGGTAAAACCTTGGCCGGTTTATCCAATCCGGACAACACTATTTGACTTCTCCGATTTATCAATCCGGACAACAAAAGTATTTGTCCGGTTTATTAATCCGGACAACTCAACTCAAAACCTTGTCCGATTTACATCTAAACCGGACAACATATTAGGCGATTTAAGATATATTGGGTAACCCTTATTCGATTTATAAATAAACTGGTCATCCCTTGATCGTATTCCTACTTCTCCGTTTAAAACACTTAACAGAATTTCAAAGTTCAAAATCTTTCAACACACAAACCGGTTAACACTTTAATCCGATTACCCTTAATCTGGATGGGACTACGTCCGATTTATGTTTAATCCGGTTGAAAATCTTATAACACAACAATTATGTATTTCAAAGGGATAAAAAAACATTTTAACCACTCACCTTATGTAATTTGAAAGCAAGGCCGAGTCCAACTTCAAAATCCAATCAAAACAAGAAATCCGATCAACTCTTCTTTTCTTAAATCGCTCAGTAGCCTCTCTAAAGAAGTAAAAAGAAGAAATGGAGGCTTAACCCCTCCTTTTATACMTTTCCTTAACAGGAAAGTCGGCTACACCCTTCCCATTATGCATGCATCTCATAACATACCCATGCATACATGCATATAATCATGCATACTTATGCAATCTTTCATAATTACTATTCATGCATGCATACACATTTATATATTTATATATTCATACATGCATTTCTATATAGTTTCACATACCAACAGGATCAAATATATCAATTTATCATGCTAACACGTAATCATATAATAAATAATCACGTCTTAATTACCTCGGTTGATAACCAGGACCCGGTTATCACATTATCCATCCCTCAAAAGAATTCCGTCCTGAAATTTCTTTAATCAAAGAGCCATGAATATTCTGTTCTCATCTTTGATTCTTATTCCCAGTTTGCCTCTGACCCCTTATGAAATTTCCACTGTACTTTAACCAAAATGATCTATTTGTTTCTCAACACCCTGATCTTTCGGTCAATCACGTCTTCAGGTATTTCCACAAAGTTCAACTTACTGTCTAGTTTAACTTCGGGTAGCGGTACAGCTAAACATTTCCGCAGGTTCGATACATAGAAAGTATTATGGATCAGACTTAGTTTTTCTGGTAACTCTAACTGGTAAGCCACTGGCCCAATTCGCTTACATATTCTGAATGACCCAACATACCTCGGACTAAGCTTACCTTTCTTTTCAAATCTGATAACACCCTTCCACGGAGAAACTTTCAACATCACAAGATCACCTACACAAAACTCAATAGGCTTCCGACGATTATCGGCATAACTTTTCTGGCGGTCTTGTGCTGTTCTGATTCTTTCACGGATCTGTTCAATCTTTTCAAAAGTTTCTTGAACAATCTCAGGACCCGTTAACTGCCTCTCACCTACCTTGTTCCAATACAACGGCGTTCGACATTTACGTCCATACAATACTTCATACGGTGCCGCTTGGATGCTGGAATGGTAACTGTTATTATACGCAAACTCTATTAGTGGCAAATGATCTTCCCATGATCCCCCGAAGTCTATGACACAACTTCTCAACATATCCTCGAGAGTTTGGATAGTTCTTTCACTTTGCCCGTCAGTTTGCGGATGATAGGCTGTACTTAATCTGATTTCAGATCCCAAAGCTTTCTATAAACTCTCCCAAAACCTTGAAGTGAAACGACTATCTCTATCAGAGATAATAGATAGTGGAATACCGTGTCTAATTACAATCTTTTTAATATAAATCTATGCCAACTTTTCTAAAGTGTATCCCTCTTTTATAGGTAGAAAATGCGCAAATTTAGACAGACGATCTACAATTACCTAGATTGCGTCGTACCCCTTTGGAGTTCGAGGTAACTTCATGACGAAATCCATTGTAATGTAATCCCACTTCCACACAGGAATCTTCAAAGATTGAAGACTTCCACGGCTTTTGATGTTCAAACTTAACCTGTAGACATGTTATACACTGTTCCACATATCTGGCTATATCTTTCTTCAATCCGGGCCACCAATAAAAAGATTTCAAATCTATGTACATCTTATTGGTACCTAGGTGAATAGAGTATCGGGACTTATGGCTTTCATTTAGTATAGTATTCCGGATATCCCCAAAACACGGTACCCAAATTCGCCCTTGAAAGCACATAATCTCTTCATTGTTCGGTTCCAGAATCGAAATCATCTTACCCAACCTTTCTGTCTTGATAAGATCTTATTTCATGGCTTCTTTCTGACATCTCAGAATTTCTTTATGAATATCAGGGACTAAATTTATTCTCATTGCCACACTTTAATAGTCACACTTCTTTCTTTTCTACTCAACGCGTCAGCTACCACATTGGCTTTCCCTGGGTGGTAGAGGATTTCACAATCATAATCATTAACGAGTTCAATCCATTGACGCTGTCGCATATTTAGTTCTTTTTGGTTTAACAGATGTTGCAGACTTTTATGATCAATATAAATTTGGCACTTTATTCCCAAAAGATAATGCCTCCAAATTTTCAAAGCAAACACTACTGCTGCCAATTCCATATCATGAGTTGGATATTGCTTCTCATGATCCTTCAATTGTCTTGATGCATAAGAAATTATCTTTCCTCTTTGCATCAAAACACATCCCAATCCCAGTTTTGAAGCATCACTATATACTACAAAATCTTCCGATCCATCTAGTAGGGCCAACACCGATGCACTACAGAGATGATCTTTTAACAGTTGGAAAGCCTTTTGTTGTTCTTCCTCCCACTGAAATTTAACGTTCTTCCGAGTCAATTTGGTCAATGGCACGGATAATTTAGAAAAGTCCTGAATAAATTTACGATAATAGCCTGCCAATCCCAAAAAGCTTCGGATTTCAGAGGGAGTTTTTGGGGCCTCCCATTTTTCCACTGCTTCTATTTTGGCTGGATCTACCTTCACCCCTTATTCTGATATGACATGACCCAAGAACAGAACTTCTCTTAACCAGAATTCACACTTGGACAATTTTGCATACAACTTTTCTCTTTTCAGCAATTCAAGTATTAATTGAAGATGTTCTGCATGCTCCTTTTCGGTTTTAGAGTATATAAGGATATCATCGATAAATACAATAAAGAATTTATCAAGATATTCCTTACATACTCTATTCATTAAATCCATGAAGGATGAGGGCGCATTAGTTAAACCGAATGGCATAACTAAGAATTCATGATGCCCGTACCTAGTTCGAAAAGTTGTTGTAGCGATGTCTTCCTCCCTGACCTCTAGCTGATAATACCCCGACCTTAAGTCGATCTTGGAGAAATAACTTGCTCCCACCAGTTGATCAAACAAGTCATCAATCCTGGGCAAAGGATACTTGTTCTTGATTGTCAACTTATTTAATTCACGATAATCTATACACATTCGCATAGATCCATCTTTCTTCTTAACAAATAAGACCGGAGCACCCCAAGGTGAAGTGCTGGGTCGAATGAATCCTTTATCAGTTAAATCCTTCAACTGAGCAACCAATTTCTTCAGTTCTGACGGAGCCAACTGGTACGACGCCTTGGCTACTGGTGCTGCTCCTGGTATAAGATCAATTCTGAATTCAATAACTCTGTCTGGTGGTAAACCAGACAAATCTTCTGGAAAGACTTCTAGGTATTTATTAACAATTGGAACTAATTCCCGTTTTCCCTTCTCTTTCTTTAAATCAATAACATATGCCAGACATCCCTGACACTTCTTTCGAATACACTTTTGAGCTTTCAACACAGTTAAGAGATTGGTATGATGATTCTGACGATCACCATAAATAAC